AAAAATTTTAGCCAGCAACTTCTCTCCTGGAGAACTGTCATTTTGCGCTCTCAGTTTTTGAGTGATGGATAATTTTTTGATTTGCACGAACACGATTTGGGCAAAAATCGTGATAATTCGAACAAATTCGTACAATTTTTTTGCTCGACGAACAGAACTTGTGTCTCATTTCCACATGGCATTTTTTAAATGGCATTCATTTTTTGTCATTTCAATGCCCATTGAAAATTCGGCACTAGCAAAAGTTTAATAATTTTTAGTGAGCTTTAATTTATTAACATTAGGGTAGTACGTTAGAGTGATAAGAACTGAGTTCTGGTGGGTAAGTACTAGAAGGGCATACTTGAGGTCATTGAACTTTGGAACAAAAAAATACATATATCATGGGTTACGGATCCGACTGTAAATGCCAAAGTTATGACGAAAAATGTAAAAATTACCTGCAGAAATTGCACAGAGTAGAAGGTGTACGGGTACTTTTTTTCTTTCTAATTGGATATAACTAGTATATCTCAGCCTTGAATAAACTGCAGTAATTTAAGAGCCTACAAATCTTTCTTAGGGACAGTTTTTGAGTGCCAGATCCTGTTCCAATAATATATAATATGGGTTTACATACAGACATATGATTTGCGTCATCAAGCAATCAGTTAAGGCACTTATCATCCCGCCCTTGTATACAAAATTATTAGGTAAAATCGTGAAATACAAACATACATATGTACATTAGACTGCATCACTCCCAATACAAAAAAAAAATCGGTACTGTGTTTCGTTTGGAATTATAAAATCTCTTATATTTTAAGACTTCCACCAAAATATTTCGGAAAATTATTAAGATTTACGTGGGCTGGAACGATTTGAAAATACCTCCAAAATTGGAGTTTTTTATGAATAAAAATAGCTTATTAAAGATTTTTTGAAAAATAACCCCTCAAAGCCCTTAACCTTTAAAAATTTGCATAAAAATATTAAGAAAACAATTAAAAAAATTTTTCTTCGGAATCGTAATAATGAAATTTTTAATGCTGATTTTTAATTTTTTCAAAGATTGGTATAAGAAAAAATTTAGTAACTGAACCGTAAACGATTTAGGCTTGTGAGGTATCATTGGAAAGGTATTTTTCACCCTTTTTATTCCTTTTTCTAATTAGCTCATTCAAAGGATGAAAGAGAAATATAAGATGAACGGACATCATTCCAAGTTGAATTGTTAATATGTTGACATTTGAAAAAAAAAAAAATTGGGATGTGAATCAGTTCTTTTGGCACATTAATAAAAATGGTGGGAAAATACCTTTCTACTGATACCTCATAAGTCTAAATCGGAATAGTTTTGACGCAGTTAAAAAACAGCATCAAAAATATCTTTATTACGATTCCGTTGATAAGATTTTTAAATATTTGTATGCAGATTTTTTAAACTTAATCTGGTTTGTAATTTTTTTTTTCAAAATTTTCTTAAGGAAACTATTTTTATTCATAAAAAACTCCAATTTTGGAGGTATTTTCAAATCGGTTCCAGCGGAAAAATCGCAATTTTTTTTTGGTGATGCAGTCTAATGTACATGCGTACATATATACATTAGCCCTTTATTAAAAAATAACTCCATTAATTTAATTAAAACCTTCAAGCCAAAGTTCAATTCCTTTTTGCACGCAATGTTAATTGCATATATAATATAACATTTTTGACACTTAAACTTTTGCTAAGTGTTTGGCTGAGCTTCTCCTCGAATTTGTGATGTGCATTCTGATTTAATACAGTTTTACGCCGCCACCAAATGACAAATGGATTTTATGAGAAGCTTTTTCAGGGCAGAAATAAACTTGGAGGCTTGCCAATTGCCGCCAAATGGTGACCTCTATTAGAAGAAACTTTTTTTTTCTAATTTGGATGTCACGGTAGGGGTAATACACACTTTTAACCACTCAGCCACAGTGCACATTGTTTCAAAACTGACATTTAGTGTTTACAATTCATTGGAGTCTTCATTTTGGAGCCTGATTTTTGATTTGTTATTTGATTATATTAACACCCCTATTGCGAATGTCGACTGGCAGTAGATAAACGACTATTAAGCGATTATCGATTATCGATGCTATTGCGAGTGTCGCTTAGTCGCTCAATTAGCGACTGTGAATACTTTTTAATCGCTCATCCTTCTATTGCTGTTTTTTAGTCGTTGGAGTTTGCGTTTATAAAATTTACATAAGAAAGTGGTACTATAATGGATAAAAAGTAAGTCAATTGAA